TCCAATCATGCATCAGAGGCTCTAGGGCATACTTGAGGCAGACGGTTAATTGTGATGGCCACGATAAACTGACTGGCCAGGAACTGAGGCTTGCCGGTTCTATGTTTATAGTGTTAATTGTCCGTAACTCCGAGATCATTCATAAAGATGGACAACCTAAGCTCAGAGGGAAAACGGCACAACCGTTTTAGTTCTTGTAATGAAGCCAGTTCGCCATTCCTTCCACTGCTTTTAAACAATTCCGATCGCAGTCGACGGAATGTAAGTCCAGACCATCCAGACCCTGACTCGGATCCCAGTTGCATGGAGTAATGGCCACAGCATGGCAGGCGAGTGATGGCGACTAGCGTACAGATTTTTATACAGTGACAGCAGGCTTGAACAACATCCGCCTCAATCTCCCCTCTCTCTCCCACCGGGCGTCCGGTGGAAGACAGGGTCAGAACGGTGAGAAGTGAGCTTGTATGTAGCAGCTGGAAAAACTACCGGGCCCGTCTTCGCGTTCCACACGCGACCTGGTTCCCGCACAATGTACCAGCTTTTCAACAAGGAAGGGGGTTGCTCAGATCGCACGTGCATGAGGGTTCCATAAAGGCTATTTTGAGATGGAGACATTGAGTCTGACTCTCAGTCATCCTATAGACACACAGGGCTGATGGCGAGTACCCAGTTATCCCGTTGGTTGGAAAGACTTTTAGTCCGTCGTCATAAACTCAAGCGTGGGATAGCATTGCCGACTAAGACAAGGGAGACTGGAATGGCCATTTCTGAATTATTAGTCGCCGTCGGCCAGCTGTACTCAACCCTGAGATGTACAACGCCCGGGGCTCGAGCCCACAACCTGTTGGTTAGAAGTCAAAGGTCGTAACTACCGAGCTACGGCCTCGTTGTCCTGTCGGTTGCGATCGGGTATACAAAACGGTAGGGGCAGGTTCACCGGTCGCGCTACGGAACTCACTCGTCCCGCTGTGTTCTGGGGCCCCCTCTCGAGTTTCCTTAGCAGCCGCGCAGCGACACGTATTATAGGCAGAATAACATTGCCGATAATGACAAGGGAGACTGGTCGCGGGATCGAGCCCCAAGTGTTGCACACTTCGGGCTTATGTATGGCTGGCTGACGACGGCTCATGAACCAGAAATGGCCAGAAATATCTTTGTCGGCAGCATTACTCTGCCCATAACAAGCGCCGCTGTGCAGCCGCTGACGGGGCTCGGGAGAGAACACCAAGGCACAACGGGGCGAATAAGTCTCGCTACGCGATCGGTGAACGCTCCTCCACCAAATTCAAGCGTGTCAGATTACTTATGGTGAGGAATGCGTTGGCGTTCTGTGAGGCTGGATTCCCCAGAGCTGGCTAAAGTCAAATAGAACGCTCCGCGCACACGAAGCCATCACGCAACCATATGCGCATTCTACAAAATGTGCTTTCTTTCCACGACTATATCAGAAATATGCGACTCCTAATGGGTGTCCATGGAAAGAGTTGTTAAGATATGACTGCGTCCGTGCCAGTTTTCCATAAATTTAAGGTCTCTGGTTTCAAGTGCAACTTTTCCAGTTGGCTGGTCGGATGCACCGCTCTTGGTGAATGAGCAAAGTCAGATATATTCTGAGGAAAATTAGACAAGCTGATTTCAGCAACTAAGTAAAAGCTAAAAACATGAGTACGCAGAGGAGGAGTTCTGGTACCTATTACATGAAGATGATACGCTGACTGTTTCCATCTTTTTATTCGTATAATGCTGCCCAAATAACGATAGAAGAGCCAGCGAATACCGTCGGTAAATTAGACAGTAGTAGAGGATCCCTTCGGTTTAAAGAGTCGCAGCAGTGCGTATGCAGTGAACTCAGGGTCCTCAACCTACATTTGACTGCACCGTTTTGTACCAGTCGGGTGACTGGTCTAATTGTCCAGAGTCCCATGGCAAGCATTTTCCCAACTCCTGGATCCGACCCTTAACATTTTCTTTTTCGGGTTTTTAGCGGGGTCCTTTGCGTAATGTCCATTATCGTTGCAGTATCCTATAGGCTTTTGAGCATTTGATTTCTCCGCCAGCTGGCAACTACAATTGCCGTGTTCTGTGCGATATTGCCACGTAGTATCAAATATCTACCTGACAGCTTGGCTGAGTATGAACGAATAGTCTGAATACGTCACCGTCGTCAACTTTAGACAGTCAAATGGTAGCCCGTTATCTCTAGATGTCAAACCCGCTGCCAGCCCATCAGGCGCGCGTAGCGTGCAGTGCATCCCTCATTGTGGCCACCTTTGACAGTCGGGTTCTTTCGTCGGCTAACGCATCAACGCCGCCATCGACGTCCTGTTGGATTAGTTACATGCACCAGTAAGTCGACTGAGGGTCTATGCGACCCATTGGACTGACATTTCGACTATTAACATTTCTCCGTGTGACAGACGGACGATTACCGAGCGTGCTTGTCCCGTTGTGCGTTGGGGCTCATACTAAAACCTTCGCAGGCAATCGCACATCGACTAGTAGTGGAGGTAAATGAGGTGGTACCGACAAAGACAAGGGAAACCGGAATGGCCATTTCTGGCTTATTAGCCGTCATCAGCCAGTTATACCCAACCCCTATCCTGGGTCACTTGGGATTCGAACCCGGGATCTCTGGTCATTGAGTTTGACACTATACCATTGAGCCACGGTACCGTTGTCAAACTCAATGACCAAAGATCCTGGGCTCGAATCTCAAGTGATCCACAATTGGGGTTGGGTATGACTGGCTGATGACGGCTGGTGAACCAGAAATGGCCATTCCGCTCTCCCTTGTCTTAGTCGGCACCATCTCATTTCTCCATGTCTTTCTAAAATGCAGACCATGTTTGCAGCCGTGTCTCTCTGAATTCCGAAATTGGACAGCCATAGGCCCACTTGGGCGCTGTAAAGTCTCTAATGGGAGATGTAAGTTCTCCGTAAAACATTTGGCCCGTTGGGGAGGTAGCTGATTATCTGGTGGCTCTACTGATCACATTTCACTTTAGTCACCAGTATATTGGCTGCTTCAACTGCATGGTGTGAAGTGTTGAACGTTGGGGCTGTTAATGGGAATTTTATCCTTTCCTTCGCAATCAAATTTGAGTTAAACTTGTTCACGGGTCAGTTACATCTGGCCAAAATTTCAATCAACCCTTCCATCCAGCTTTAGCCGAGATGATGGAGTTTTATAGTGATCTCTTGTGACGCAAACTGTGCGGGCCGCGCGGTATAAAGTATTCTAGGAGAGCAGATCTCCCATTCGGGACTTAAATTCCCTCAGATAAAAAGGCTGGGACCTCGTAGTGTCTAATCGCAACCATGGAACAAATGCCTACCCCTCTGTTTTTGCTGACGCCTCATGTGCAGAACTGCATGACTTTGATAAAGTTAATAGTAGTTGTCTGTTTTTTCGGGTGAGTAATGGCAGTTAAAAGCAGTTACAGTATTACGGATCTGATTATGGTTGTCGCAGCACCAGTTTAAAATGCACTGTTAGACGATTTGTAACAGGTGGAGATCGGGGTTGTAAATGCGGGAGCACTAAGAAAACCCAAGGCACAACCTCTGAAGTGAACAGCAGTTGAACTTGAACGCGATAGTTGGTTTTCATTTGATCGCATCAAAAACTGGTGTAATTGTGCGACACCTTGTGTATGGGGTTAGTGAGAGGGCAGCAATAGCTCTGCACGAACTGAACGACTCTCGTTTGCGGTACCGTTGAGCGGCACACGCTACCGGTTTTGCGAAAGTAGCCAAGTATGTTTATGCATTCAGCACGGCTTATTCGACAACGCATCGAGACACGTAGAGTACTCGAGGCGTTTGTCGAAACTTAGTCTCATCAAACAGCGAGTAAGCTTTAGGTTGCCGATGCGGACACCTAAAGCTAACCCTAACCGGTGACATGTTCATGTCACCTCATCGACTGAAGTAGCTGGGAACCACTCTTTTTGACTTTCAGTTGGGCGTTTCGACAAATAATTATTACATTCCACTTTTTGAGCTCCCATCTTTAAACCGATCCAAAGCACTTTTACTGTCTTTGTCTTGATTCGACAAGACAGTAGTTACTTATGTTAACGTAGTCGTCGGCCGTCAGTTTGGCGCCGGTTAAAATGCATGCTTTTCGCGCTTACTGGAGACTTTGACTTAATTAGCGATCTCAGAGCGACAATAAATCAATAATAGTAAGGGATGCGGGCGGTCAATGGTAGGATTGACAGTTATTGGTGAATTTTAAATGAACGGCCAGGCATATGGTGATTTGAGACACCGTTTAATGAAGTTATTTAGTCATTTCAGTACATGAATCCCCCTCAGTTTAGGCATCGGCTGAGGCTTACAAATGGGAAATAATGCAATTAGTTTGCAGCCTTAACAGGCTAGCCTGTTACGCAGGAAGCTCCGAGATCTTGGCGGAGACCGTTACGATTTATTTGTTATTTTTTTCACGTCTGCCCGCCTAGTTGACAGCCAACATTCACGTACCTGCGCTAGATGCAACAGACAAAGTTGGTTCTCAATTAACATTGTTCAAAGAGTCAGGCGAGCCCGGCATATTCACCCCTGGGGAGCTTGAATGCGTTCCTAACAAAGTTGAACGGCTCGTTTAAGCGGGCTGCGTGCGCCTGATCTGCGGACAGTGGACCGGGGTTTCACAGAAAATAGGGGCTCGGATCCCAACCGAGTAGGATGATATAGAGGCCATATAAAAATGGTAGTACATCCTGTCTATCCATCCTCAGAGGATGGAGTTATCCCGCCAGTTGGAAGTCATCCAAACTGCGGCTTTTAGATCGCCGGGACGGTAACAAAGCTCGTCAGGTTGTTTGTAACAAGAAATAGGTACTGAGTGCCGCGCGGGCGGGGTTCCCCGAATCGACCTCACACTCTCTCCCCTCTCCTAGGCACCGGCCCACTGTCCGAACCGGTCAGTCATCTGGCGCGTTGATTAGGCCCAAGTGACTGACAAAGATGGACAGCTCGCCAACGCGTGCCCCATGCGACCTGACTCCCACATAAAGACGGTAGGCTACATGAATCTCACGTTTACTAGAGTACCACAGAAGCCACATGGAGGAAGAGCTGAAGAACACGCTTTGCACTCACACGAGGAATGTCTATTCCATACCTGTGATGGGTGATAGAGGATGGGTTCAAGTTTGGTGCATGTGTTGGCGGGGAGCTGTGTTGTGGTGCTGTCTGATCTGCAGCGGCTTACCGCGATTTTCTCGGAGACGCACGTCACCGAGTCAGGCCTGGCGGTGACTGAATGCGCGCTGGCAGTGTGGGTAGCTGAGGCGGTTGTGGCAGATGTGTATCGATGCAACAGGCGCTCGTTCGCCGGCCCTAATACCATAGATTCGCGAGTGACCGATCAGACCAGTGCGTGATGTGAAGGTGCGGTCGTAATGAGGAGAGGCCGGGGTCAAATCATCACTGTCGATAGTGCGGATGGTGGCGGTTGACGGGCCGTCGGCAGGGTTCTTGCTGGTGGTCGTCGTTGCTGTGGAGCTTGTGACTGTGATGGGCGTGACGGTAGGCTATTGGGAGTGTGCCCGCCGGTGATGATGATGATGATGATGTTGTTGTTGTTGTTGTTGTTGTTGATGATGATGATGATGATGAGGATGATGATGATGATGATGATGATGATGATGATGATGATGATGATGATGATGATGATGATGATGATGATGATGATGGGCTTCATCGTCGCCGTCTTAAGCGCCGTGGGGTTTGCAGCAGGTAAGGCGATAAAGGTGTTTACGGAGGCAGTAAGTGAATTTGTCGTATCCCCACTACGTTGAGTCCGGGGATGTCCAACAAAGCTGATCCACGTCTAAACCACCCAGTCCTGATGGGCTTGTCAGGCGAAGTCCCAACAGCGAAACAGAAGCAGTGGCCTACAGGACCGGAACGAACACCCTACGGTTTCTCAGATTTCACTTCAATCACCTGGTCGCTCACAAAAGAAGTTGTGTGAGAAACTTCTTTAAATGGACTGAAATTGATTTTGCTATTTGCCTGTAACTGTTGTATTTATGGTGGCACCGTTCTACGCTAGTGAATGTTAAAATACATCAAGGGTTGGATATTTCGAGGGTTTTTTTTAAACACTTGAAGGATACGTCTTGGTACCGTGGTTGGATACCTGCTTTAGTAATTTACTTAAGTACTCGTGGTTTGGTGCAGAGCATATTTTCTCCAGAATTCCTGGATTTTATGTTGACAACGGAGTTAGAAACTGCGAATAACTATTGGGAATTATGCAAGAAATCCCGAGAGGGACACCAGGGAATCAACAAAGAAGGTAAACCACAAAATTTCGTCATGCATCAACAGGAAATTGGTCAAGCACTCGTCGCGCTTTTTAACCGGCATCTCCGTTACTGATATACGATTAGGAGTTGTATAGACTTAGGAAGCACACTCTTCCCACATCCACACTGTTGACCATTATGCGACTTTTTTCAGCGTAGTTGGCGACATTCAGTTTCCCTACTTGTACCAAGCTAGGGCCAAACAAAAATGAAATCTTTCGATAAAACGAATCTTACTAGGCTGAAAATGTCTGGGCAATAAATAAACAATTAGTCACTTCCTTCTGAAATTTCCAGGCGCGAAAGAGAAATTACGGATTTATTGCCCTTTATGTTCGGTGACATCACTGTTTGAGGAAGAAACACCTTCAAGGCCCGGTGAAGCTCATTTCGAAACGCAGGTCATATAGGCCTGCTGGTGGTTATGTCTAGCTAACGACATCTAATAAGGCAGAAATAGCCATCCCCGTCCCCCTTGTCTTTTTCGGCACTCTTTTCTGCAGTAAAAGTCGTCTGCTCTCTGGATAGGCCGCCGTCCGCTGACCGGTTACCCCACAACCGGCGGAACGGCCTGTTGAATGTCTTTTAATGTGCAGCCTACTCGAAGGCTTCTTAAAAGGGTCTGCCGTGCTTGAAGATTAGCGATATGAAAAAGAAAGGAAGAAGAAGACTCGTCGACCGCCGAAACAACTTATTCATTTATCCGAGCTTTCGAGCTGGCACTGGAGTCTATTGCCTGAGATAAAAGCAGTAACTGAGCAGGCGGCGGTTATAGGGGTTATAAGCCAATCAAACACCAGTGATGCCAATCCAGAGGTAACCATGCAAGGCTCTGTACGTCGACGCCAAATCGATACAGCGGTTGATGGAGTTTTTACCCAAGGCCCAGGCTTCAGTCGGTTCGCGACAGGCCTTGCTTCTAGTGGGGACGATTATCTTTTGTAGCTGCGAAGCTAAACTCGGGAACCCGTGCGTAGGTGTGGGCAGCGACTTATGATAATGCGTCGCCCTGTCGTACAGCCACCTTATATTTATCTATGCGCGATCCCAGCATGAGTTAAGTCTGACCTATGTTGCTACAGGGACAGTTTTGGCACGGGATGCGATACGCTACCTCAGATTGTTCTTTAGGATTAAACCGGTCTTTAGTTTTCATGACGTTGATGTGCATGCTGAGTTTGGGCTGGTGTGAATGGGATCACGCGTACGCGAACATAAGCTGGCTGTGTGACGGGGTGACGAATTATCAAAAGTGGCTACCCACACTTACGAAACGGGTAATGAGTTCAACTTCGCAGCCGCCAGGATAATGGCCAACGCCGGACACAAAACAGGCCGCGCATCGATTGAGTTCTGGGCCTCAGATAAGAACTCAGTCAATCGATTTATCGATCTGTCACCGGCGTACAGGGCCAGCGCAGTCACCTCCAGATCTGCGCCAGCGATCGATGGTTGGGTAACGAACCCTTTAATTGTCGCGCGTCCTGTTGTTACTACTACCTCTGACGATGGACTCCAGCACGAGTTCGAAAGCCCAGAACAGCATACAGTCTGGTCCGTTATCCGACTAGGCTTCTTCTGTACTTCTACATACGCTTTGAACTCGAACTTTCGCCTGCATTCTTCATTAATTCAATATCTTCGGGCGTTTGATGGAGGTAGGGAGGGAGTGGCAGAAGTGGCTGATATAAAAAGACGCATTATTGAGCGGGCTTCCGACCTGAGTGCCATGGATATCAACGAAAGGAAAACAAAGATGTATTGTTTTCTGTCCGACATGACATTTAACGGATTCATGACTTCACTTGCAGCAGTTTATCTAAGAGGCGTGGACATAGAAGAGCTGATTGATAGTCGAATAAAAAAGCATTGGAGAGTGTACATATATGATTAATAAAAAGTGTCAAAAGTACGCAAGTAATTCCACATCACAGGATAGACTATAAAGCGACATAAACTTAACGTTCTCCCAGTGTTTAGAAAATTAAAAAAGACAGACACCACACAATGACCATATTCGTTAGACAGGGTCAAAACGTCTTTTGGTGGACAACTTGTGTGACAAAAATAGGGGCACGAATATTACTGACTGTAATAGGGGAAATGATTGCTCATCTTCTTTTATCGACGCCGAGCTGTACAAACAAGGTGTGTGTTTTGGCTAACGGTGTCGAAATGTACCTGGATCATAATGGCAGGTAGATCAAGGCTGGATATTGGCAGGAAGAGACATCTAAGATTTCAAAATAACGGTAAAATTTGCAAGAGTTAGTACGCGCTTCGGATTATTATAAATAAATGAGTGTGGAGATATGTGCGCATCTGATATGCACTCTGCACATGACAGACACTGAAGAGACGACATAAGAGCAAAACAAACGATTCTGAAAGAAGGTATAGCTTCCATGAGGTCATTTATAAGTCTTTTCTATTCTAAACTGGGCTGACCGCCAGGGTGGATAGCAAGTCCCAAGTGCCAGAACGTGCCAAAATTTCCGCAAAAAACTGTAGTATGGTCACGGACTATTCAAGGGGCTCTATAGATCTGCACATTGTTAACCCGCGGTGAAAACGTCGGGAGGTAATGCAAGAGAGTACATGAAAGAAGGGGGGGTGTTTAAGTATCTTTTAGGTTAGAGATACCTGAGAAGGAACCTTCATACGGAATCGATATTTGGATGACGCCATGTGTTTTAATTTGAAACAAAAATGGGAAAAACATAAATGAGGTGAGTAGATTAGTAGAATGGGAAAATTATTGTTTGACTCGAATTTACTGTTGAGTGGAGATGTATAGGCAATGCTCACAATGCCTTTAAAGTCAGCATGTCAGAATCCGGTAAGATTGACAAAAGGCTTACGATAAAGGGGAATCGAATTCACGTAACCACACGCGTAGTCGACAGCAATGCTGACTCAGACGTCAGCTGATAGACGGTCTTTGGGCTGCGTGCTCATATTATTCCGAGGCACGGAAGACCTAAGTTACTCGCTGTAAACCCTTCGAGTTTACAGAGATACGGCCCTCGGGAATGAGATCTACGTGCACTTTCGCATACGAAAGGTTATTCAGAACAGAGTATCATGTTTACATTTAGCGAGTATCTCAGAAGTGCGTAGGGTGTAGGGGTGTCAGCGGTGGGTTCACGTAATGGTCGTGGTGGTCGCTCACTTGCTTGCAGGTGAGACTGCGCCTAGCGTCCACTTGCTGGCACTCAACTCTCACCTGTGGCTCCACGTAGCTGGGCTCTGCTCAGCGGCCACACCCCGGGCAACCGTCTCGACCGGCGGGCTAAACCAGGTGAGGGGGCCCTGTGCGCTGTGCCGTGTGCACAGGGTTTGCGGATTCCGCTGGATGGAAGGTCGGATGGAACCTTGCGTCGGCACCGTCGTGACGTGGTTCGTCTCTGCACGTTGCTTGACAGCCGGTGACGGGATGGATCTCCACATCGACATCGCCTTGACGCGCCCACCCTCGCCGACGGAGACCGCGGCTTACGGCGAATTCGAGTCGCTCTCCACTACAACCCGAAGCCGTGGTCCCATAGTGGAGTTCGGCCGTGCCACAACGGCACATGGCAGCCCTATTCAGGGATGGCACTGCCAGCCCCCACGAGGGGAAGGGCCTAGAAAAGGTGGCCTAAACATTGCTGGGTACCACGCCGTCTCCAGGCTAGCCAGGGCCGCAGACGTCTAAACATGGTCGAAACAATCAAAATCGAAACAACAACAATACCCATAACAACAACAACAACAACAACAACCATACTCATTCTCCTCATCCCATCTCTTCTTCCTCTACCTCCGTCTATTCTTCTGCCTATTCTTCTCCTTCGTCATCTTCTTCTCCATCTCCTTCCCGTCGCCCCACTCGTTGTCACCAGACTGGCAGGGTGAGCGCGCTCACTCTGGCAGCCTGGAATGTTCGTTCCCTTTTAGACAATCCGAGGAGCAACCGACCGGAGCGGAGGGCGGCGCTAGTGGCACGAGAACTGGCGTGCTACAAGGTGGACATCGCCGCACTCAGCGAGACCCGTTTCTCCGAACAAGGCCAACTGGAGGAGGTGGGTGCCGGCTACACCTTCTTCTGGAGCGGTCGACCCAGGGCAGAGCGACGGGACGCGGGCGTCGCCTTCGCCAT